TAGATTATTACCCAGCAACACCCAACTGAAATTGATGGAGAATGAGCCGAATGAGATCCACGGTCGATTGAAGCAGGCGACCGTGAAGAAATCGACAGATTAGGGAAAATTTTCGAAATGGGGGAAAGATGAGGAGTCGGGTCTTAGAGGGGATGAAACAAGAGGCTAGGATCAGCTCAAAGATCAGATTAATGGTGATGACGAAATCAGGTGCAAAACAGTTATGAAAGAAAAACCGAAACCCGATAAGAATTAAAAATCGAAGCTAAAAAAATTTCTAGCGGTCGACCGACGCGGTCGACCGACACAACTTACAGAGACTTCGTCGGTCGACCGGGTCGGTCGACCGCGAGAAGATTAAGTGCACAGTCACTGAAAAAATCTGGATTTTGAGAAACTTTTCAATTTAGACCTTTAAGAAATTGTTTTATAGGATACCAAATGTTTTATAAGATATATATAAAAGTTTTTAGCTATAAAAAACATGAATAATTTATTTTAGCTAAATAAGAGGAAAGATTTAAAATTCAAAAACCAAATTTTCAAAGCAAAAACAAAAAACGAACAAAACAACAAAAAATTAAAAATAAAAAAATTATTTTGGTACCCAAATCATTTTGGTACCACTAAACTTTGGAACATGACCCCTATCATTTAAATCCAAGACCCTAGGGTTATGAACCCGCTTGGGCGTATTTTGTGCACCGATACGATCAAAGCAAAAATTGTAAACATGACCTATACGATTGCAATTTGTGCAATGTAGAGGTTTGAATGGTTTACGTTGACCGGAATGAAATGCACGTGGTTCATTTGCAAAAATAGATTTTTCTTTGTAATTATTTTGCAAACGAGAATTTCTTTTCAAATCGAAATAAAACATGGCCAAATGACCAAAACGATCACAATAATCACATTTATACACATGAGCATGTTTATGATTTACACTATGTGTGTGTACATGTGTTTGTGATGAAGAAGCTTGTTGGGATGCACAATCATGAATAAGCTTATCAATTTTTTGTGCATTATGACAAAATTGAGCTAAGTGGCCTTTAAGACCGCAAATAGAACATTTGTGAATTTTGTCATACATATGTGCATAGTGAATAGGTTTCTTAGAAGAATTAACATTGAACTTTGCACATAAGTCCATAAGCTTTTTATTATTAGCAATACAAGTGTTTAGTGTTAAATCTAAGGTAGATATTCGTTTTCTCATTTGATTCAACTCATCATTGTGCATACAAGCATTGCTACTAGAAGTAGGATAAACAAGATTTTTCATCATAGATTTCAACTTATCTACTTCTAACATAGCATCACGTTTTTCATAAAGCAAACTAGCATTTTCAATTTTTAAATTTTCATTGCATTCTTTAAGAATTATATTTTCATTTGCAATAAAATTAAACTTAGTAGCTAGTGTTTCATGAGTGGATTTCATATTAACATACTTACTCTTTACATCAATATAGCAATTGTGTAATTTTTCAAACTCAAGAGCAAGTTCATCAAAAGTAATAATATCATCGTTATCGCATACCTCACTAGGGTTATCACCTAGTGGTATTGTACATGAAGATGAGACTTCTTTAAAACTCAAAGCGGGATTTTCCAACGCTTGTTGAATAGCCTCCAATTCCCCTTCATGTGCTTCAATAAATTTCCATAAGGCGTAAGCACTATCAAAATTAGCAAATTTGTTAGAAAACGATGAGTGAAAAGCATTAATCAAATATTCTAACAAAAGCTTATTCATATTAAACAATCTTTTATCATTTTCACACCATTTGGATTTTTCCAAAATGGGAACAATATAGGCATCCTCAATAATTTCCCATAAATCGAATTGTTTAGATTGAACGAAAAGTTTGAATCTAACACGCCATTGAGCATAGAGAAAAATATCCAAACAAGGAACAATATTAATAGCATATCCTAAACTAGATGAATCATACATATTCATGAAGATAATATGCAAGAGGCAAAATGTAATCAAAATTAGATTAGCACAAATACGATAACTTGGATCTTTAACTCAATGCGATTAGACCTTAAATCAAGGAGCACCAAGCTCTGATACCAATTGTTAGACCCTAGAGGGGGTGATTAGGGTCTTATGCTAATCTAAACCCAATTAAATACTCATTAAAATTATATTGATTAATTTATTCTTGCAAGAATGATATGAGATAGATATGAATAAGAACAATAAGAATATGCACAAAATAAAATATAAGCCAAGCAAAAAAAAAAAACACAAACACACGATATGTTTACGAGGTTCGGTCACCACGACCTACGTCCCCGCTCCTCACCTCGAGGAGATATCCACTATCACAATCCGGTTTGGAAGCCGGAACTTCTACACACTCGGTTTACAAGATCACCGAAAACTCTCACACTACACAAACACTATGCAATCACACTTTACACACTAAGTGTAGGAATCTAGCCCGTGTCCTCCTCCTCAAGTTCTCGGTTACAACCTCTCCCTAGGTTCGTCAACCGACGCCACTCTTATTGGATTTAACCCCGTCTCTCGCCTCACACTTCTCTCGGTGTACAAGTGTATTACAAGTGATTCTCACAAATAAAAGATAAATACAATGATTTGTTCTCAAATAACAGGTGAGAACACAATGAAGCTCACACTCACTAAATCACACCCCACAACCCACACTATATGGTATGAAAATATTAGGCTCAATATGTGTGTGTGAGAATAGTGAATGAAACTCAATAAATATAGCTAAATGAAATGAAAATGAAATAACAAGCTATATAAGAGTTTAGAAAAACTTCTCAAATAAGAAGAGCAGTAGATGATGATCCCAATAAGATTTGAAAGCCACTTCTTGTTGTAGAAATACTTCTCTTGAAACAGATTGATGAAATCAGCTTTAAACAGCTCTTTGAAAACACACTTAATATTTTCTTAAACACAAAACTTGGATTTCTTGGATATTTAGAAAGAAGGCAGCAATGGGGTATTTATAACACCCCAATACATCAGTAAAAACACAAGTAAAAGACCAAAAAACTAATTTAAAAATAGCTGTAAAAACTAGCCGTTGGAAGTGAGTTGACAGTTCGGCGGTCGACCGCGAAGCTCAAAAAACCACAGATGTGAAAATATAAAGCTGGCGGTCGACCGTGAAAGTCTCTGGATGTTTTCACGGTCGACCGTCATGGTCGACCGCAAGCACATAAAAATCATGCTAAGGAAAAATATCATTGCCGGTCGACCGCGGCGGTCGACCGGAATCTGATATATTTCAAATGACAGGTTTTTGGGCTATTTTGAAAATTCATTAAAAATATCAAATCAATTCCAAAAATAGTGAAACTTTGGGGAACGTTTCTAAATGATGAAATAAGCATGTTTGAAAAGGAATTTTTGGAAAATCAATTTTTGTTTGTGAAAACTCCCTGTTTTTGAAAAGTGTTCAGAAAACCTGTTTTTCGTGAATATGAAAATTGACATAAGACTTGTAAATACGTATTTTAACAACGTTTGATGAAAAATCATTTATATGATAGAAAACGTCAAAAATCGTGTTAAGTGTACATATATTGAGCTTAGATATAATCATACAATATATGTAAGTAAACTAAACTAATATCTAGGTAACTCCGCACATATGAACTTGAATCTTTAACGCTTGATTGTCGTGTGTTGAATTACCTGTAAAAGATAAACACAAAGACTAGAAAATAGATTAGATATAAATTGTTTGACAAATCATCATCAAAACCAAAGGGTCAACAATACGTAGATGGATCACGTGTGACCGACAACCATCACCTGGACACATGCCACGCCCACCGACAGACAGTTACATCCCTAGTGGGATGAACGAGAGAGATTACGTAAGTTTCTAAGCTAAATTATAGCATTTTTTATTGAGTTGGTACTTAATAAATTCTTTACCTCACATGTCCGTGCTTTTGATAGCATTAAGGCTAATATTGATGCGCACGTGCCTGAGATTCAGGAATCGGTGGTGTTAGGACTCCTCAGCATGATCAAGAAGACCATAGCGTAGGTGTTTCATAAGACTCACGTCGACGAGTTCGCAGACCGTAAGGACAGGTCTCGATCATTTGGGCAGGCGTACACTCTGCGTCGACGGACACGTGACGATGACGCCAGCACTTCGCATGCCAATGGAGCCGGCACTTCGCATGCTGATGGAGCCGGCACTTCTCAACCTCATACAACGCGGGGGCAGGAGAGAGCGAAGGGGAGGGGAAGAGAGGGAGAGGAAGGAGAGGAACTATATTGGGTTGTATTTGAACTTATTTTGTTAAAATTTGTAACTTTTATGAATTTTCAAATACTATACTTTTATGGATCAATTATTGTTCATATATGTACTCTTTTTGAGTATTGTTTAATTCGGGCGTGTTTAAATCATATATATATTTTAGTAATTGTTGTTAACAGGTAAATAGTTATATATATGAGTTAAACAGGTAGATGTATACAAAACATGCACAACACAGCAGCATGTGCATGTTTTGTAAAACCTGCAGCTTCACGGGAGTTCAACTCCCGTGAAGTTGCAGTCTAAATTTCCCAGAGAGCGATTCTCTGGGAAATTTGGCCTGTAACTCCATGGGAGTTGAACTCCTGTGGAGATTTTAATACCCTAACAGACTTCACGGGAGTTGAACTCCCGTGAAGTTTGTTCAAGTTAACAAACTTCACGGGAGTTCAACTCCCGTGAACTCCCGTGAAGTTTAAAAATATGCTAAACTTCACGGGAGTTCAACTCCCATAAAGTTTCGTAAATTTTTTTTCAGAAACCGATCTGATTTCAGCGATAGGGCTGAAACCAGGTCAGTTTTTAAAATTAACTTTGAAACAGGTCGTTTTTTGCAAATAAAAGTCCAAATAAGACTGTTTCGAAAATTTGTCCCTTAAAAACTCACGGGGTTATGTGCAATTAACCCCACCCCCACCCCACCCCACCCCCACCCTTTTTGAGTGCTATTATCCTTTCGCTTGGAAGAAGGGCTCTTAAACGAAATTTCTCTCCCCGAAAATGGAAGTTACCGTTGTGCTTCCTCGTCTTCAAGCGTCTTGTTTTGCCCCTCGCTTTCCTCTTAAAGGCCTAATAAGCACCAGCGGAAACCCTAATTTTCGTTTATCTTGTTCTCCACTTCAATCCCAATCGGTGAGTGCATTTTATTTTGTCCATTTTTCTCACTTCTAATACCTACTTTCATTTGTCATTTGATGTGAATTCATGAATATTTCGTTCCATTTTACTTTTTATATATCAGATTGATGAATCGAAGCCTGAATACAAGCCAGGGCCTTTGGATGATCTTCTTCTTCGGTTCTTCAGGCAGAAAATGGTCGAGGTGAGTTCTCATCTCAATGTCTTAATTTGATTGAAGTATGCTCTGAGCCCTGAAATTTTTAATTTTTTAAATTGTTTATCTGATAAATTGTTAACCCCATGAGTCTTTGAATCGGAATGTATAAATTATTAACTTATCAGTAAATATTGTGGCGCGACTATAGTCTAGATCGAAGTCCAACTTTGTATGTTAGACATCTCAGATCTATATCCTGCTGAGTAGTAATCACAAATTAATCTCAAATAGACTACATGTTTTCATTTTCGGAATTTCCAGAATTGATTTTTAAAAAGTTGGAAAATTATACCTCAAGAAGGATTACCATTGGATTTATCTGGATAAAAGGTATTGGGATCCTTTGCAATTAGGTCTTAATTGGAATGTATCCAATTACCACAATCCTACCCCTCTATTCCAATTTCAAGGGTCGAGCTGAAGCCGCATTACACTCTGAATGTTATCTTCAAAACCACTATCGTCTTTAAAACCGCCATTGTGAAAACCGGAATTGTGATAGTGCAAATCCTACGTGGCTTCGTTTTAGCCTTTGGTATTGGAATAGAGGTCTAGGCTTGGGGTAATTGGATCCCAATCCCTGGATAAAGGTATCAACAATTTATAGAAGGGTGATGGACTGACTTGTTCGACTTATTTTACTAGTTCTTTTGCTGTGTTATCTGTTAAATTCTAATGAAATTATTCACTAGAAAATGGTGTAAAAGTAAATTTTGAATTTTATGTTAACTGGACATGGATTTTCTTTTGTTCTACTGTACAACTAGCTCAGTTAATTATGTATATCTACTATTGTGTGCCATTACTTTACTCCAAGGGAACCCTCAATATTGAAGAAAATTAAATTGTTCCTTTTATTTTCACTATATCCCTTTGTGTTGTTCCCTTACCTTAATCTTCATGTTACTAAATAATGTTTCCATACAACTGAACCGTGTTTTAAATGAATCATTGGAGAAAGACAAAAAAATGCAGTCTTACAATGTGCTTATGTTTTAAAAGCTGTAGGAGGTCGGATGGGATTCAGAAAAGGCAGGATATGTTGGGTTGATTGAAGTTGCAAACCGACTCATGATGAGAGGAAAGAGCAACTTGGAGACTGAGCAATCAGCAGTATAAACTCTTTGCCACTCCTACTTATTTTCGCTTAGTGTATGTGTATGTGCATTTTGTGTGTGTCATGAGATCGTGTATGCATGTCCTGTGCACGTGAATTTCTGTTAATATGTGCAAAATACATACACGCCTGTGGATTGGTTACTATCAAGTGCTGGCTTTTATAACTTGAAATACAAAATTACATATCTCTACCATATGGAAAGGAGTCAGTATGTAGCATGTTCTGTATAAGTTACCTGCTCTAAAGTAAATTGTGGTGGATAAACTTCTCTTCATGCCTTATCAATTCATATATGTGCAATCACATGCTGATGCAGTCACAAAAGTCAGATGGGTACCTAATTGCTTGATCCCTTTTATTAATAGCTTATTCATGCATACTGCAAAATTCTACCTGTGTATTCAACAGACTCAACAGAAAATTGATAGATGCTAATGATTACTTGATGCGTTAATGGAAGATATGAACCTTGCAATGTGAAAGTGTCATTGTTTCTGAAGAATAAGTGATGATTAAGTAGAGGATGTGAACCATGCAATGTTAAAGTATCATTTTTCCCCCAAGAATGATGATTAAGTAATGTCATTTTTTAGTAAAGGTGAGTAAGATTTCATTGCTGAACATAACTTACAACTATACCCAGGCATTCCCAGGTTAAGCACCCCACTTTAGATACTTGCAATTTGCAGAACTATACATAGATAAGGGATGGATTGCCCTCACTTAAGCGTTGTAGTAAAGGTCAAGTATAGTTGTAAATTGGCTCGTGAAGCTCGAACCTTGGTCCTTTGAGATCACAAAGAATACTTTTAAGAAGATAAATTAACAAAATTTCAGCCCTTTCAAACTCAAGTCCTTTCTTGTTCACTATCCTATAGGCTTGTTGAGAGCTTGATCATTTAATAATTGACAAATAGACATTGACAAGATTTTAAGCTCATTTAGATAATCTGAAGAAGTAATTACCCTAAAGCTTTGTTGGCTTGTCTGACAGCCTTAGTTGCAGGAAGCACCAACTTAAAAACTTACATGGTAAGCTACTGAAAGAGGGAGAGGTTATTCAATCATATGAATTGTTTTAGGAAAAGATGGCCTTAACCCATATTTTTATAAGAGTGAATGTTCAAAACACAAAAGATGGTTTACATGGAATTAACTTGATAGCCTAGTGGTATACACGTAGACCACGAAGTTATAATTTCAAAATGCATGAACGAAGATTACGCAAGGCTGGATGATTTGTGGATGATTTCAAATGGAAGACATCATTGAAGATATGTTGGTTTCCCTCATTCCAAAATCAATCAGAAGGTCATCGTAATGGCACATGCAAGTGAAAATTCTAGCCTTTAACTTAAAAATGCATTAAGTTTTTTCTCAGATGGACAGGATTTTGTCGTACTTGTAAAGTTCTGATTTATCATAAGATCTAATTATTTCATTCTGCTTATTTCTTTTCTTTGCTGTAATCCTTCTTCCCCGATGTAATCTTTGATAGAATTGGAGCTTTCAACTTCTATTCTAAATGGCAGGTCCGGGTATTGAAGTCATTGTTTCCTCCATTCATACTTGTTCTGTTTAAGATGCTTATAGCACCTATTGGTGGGGGAATAGTTGCTTCCATGATGGTTGGTAAGTAAGTATTTCTAATCAATGCTTACGTGTTGGACGTTAGTTTTTCCTTCGACAACGTAATCAACTCAAGTTTCCTTTCCGTTTGAAGCAAGAGCAACTGCTCTTTCTTGTAAATGGCTGATGGGACCATGCTCAGTTAACTCCGTGGATCTTCCTGATGGTTCTTCTTGCACCAGTGGGGTATTGAACCACTCTGACATTTACATTGTTTAGTCCCATTATTTATTTTTTTCTTTTCCCAACAAGAAATATAGTAAGCTTTCATCTATTTAAGCTCTTCATTCAGGTTATCCTTATTCATGTAGGTATTTGTAGAAAGGTGCAAGTATCTAGAAGAAAGCAAATGTATTGGAATTTGCACCAGCACATGCAAGCTACCAACTCAGGTCAGTGCCATCCATATACTTGAAACTAGTTTGAAACCCATGCAATGCAGAAATTTGCTTAAAATAAAAATAGGTTTGTATCATGTCATTACAGCCTAGTTGGCAAACTGCCTCAAATCTATATGCTTGATATCTATGATGCACAGATACGGATACGGGACACGGATACGATACGGACACGGATACGGGATACGGCAAAATCCAAAAAAATAGGATACGGGGATACGGCAAGGAATTTTTTAATTATTATTATATATAGAAAATTTATAAAATTCAACTAGCAATCTAAAATATGAATCTATCACAAAATAACAAGTTTGTAAACAAAAAGGAATTGAAGAAAATACTGATTCTATCACAAAATAACAAGTTTGCATACAAAAAAGAATTAGAGTACATACTCATTCTATCACAAAATAAAAAGTTTGTAAACAAAAAGTACATCAAGATGAAGTGGAAGCTAGTCCGGTGACTTTTTTTTCTAATTATACTAATTAATAAATTGTTGCTAACTGACTTTGTTTTTCTTTTTGCATATTATACTTGAGAGTTAAGTAGCAACGAGCAATAATAAAGGATCAATTACAAATAGACCTATTGTAGTTTTATGTTTGCAATTGGCAAACACACCCAAAGTGAATTTTTTGACGCTGAAGATCAGTAAAAAGGTTTGTGGGAGGCTGATAGACCCCTCAAGTGCTAAGTTTTTGGCTTTAAGAAGATTGCAAAATCCACCAAGGGATCCATTAGCCATAAATAGAATTATATACGATCTATATGTAATTGGATGGTACTAGGGGGGGCTTTGCAATTAATCTTACACGCAAGTACGCAAATGTCTCAATTCATTACCCACAAATTTCCCAACAATAGGACTTCATGATGTACTAAAATTCAGTATAAGCAAAAACCATTAGATAAAGTATCAAACTAAGGAGTAAAAACTTTGATTTTTACTGAGGTTAACATTTGCAATCATCATCCCTCTTTAATAAAAACGAAAATTGTATTTTAAAAAAATAAACCAATTTCTGTAATTGAAAAATAAAACTAAACAAATTGAGAGATTGAGGCTGTACAATTTCTGTAATTAAAAAAATAAAATTGAAATTTACCGTAATCTCTCTCAATTGAGGTTGTACAGTTAGCTGAAGAGTGAAGCCCCAAGCCGCATAAATAAAAAAATATATAAGTCTTATCAAAAAAAGTTAAGCGGCTGAGAGATCGGAGATTGAGAGAGAGAGAGAGACGGAGATTGGGACAGATCGAGAGAAAGAGAGAGAAGATGAAAGAACGAGAGAGAGAGAGACGAGAGATCGAGAGAAGACGAGAGATCGAGAGAGAGAGAGAGAGTAAGAGATCAAATCGAGAGAGACAGAGAGACCAGAGGCCGAGAGAGAGATCTTACCGAGCGCGGGACGAGCACGAGCTCTGATCTCCACGAGGGCAAGCGATGAGCATGAGACGAGGGCGAGCGACGAGCAAGAGACGAGGACGAGCACGAGGAGATGGATGAGCACGAGCTCTGATCGACGGCGAGCGACGAGCACGAGGCGAGGACGAGGAGATGGATGGATGAAGACGAGGAGAGCGCTCAGAGCGGCGGGACTGAGGACCTAAGGTAAGTGAAGAATGAAAATTAGGGTTTACCTTTACCTTTTGGTTTGGGTTTCGGGTTCGGGTCGTCTTCAGCGCTTTTCTTTCTTTTTTACCTGCGAATCCAAGCCGTGTCCAGGCTCTCTTTGACCGTATCCTCCTTAGCTTGACCATTGACCCGTGTCAGACACGGGTTGACCGTGTCTGACACGTGTCTTGCACGTGTCGGGACGAATCCGTGTCTGATTCGTGTCAGACACGGATTCGTGACCCCTGGGGGAGTATCCGTGCTTCATAGCTTGATATTATAGCATGTTGGAACAGTGAATAATTAATAGGCAACATCAAGTTTTCAATCACACACATAATATTAGAAACATATAGAAATGCATATCAAGTATACAGATCCACGGAAAAAGCCATAATTGTCAATTAATTGATAACATTTATATTCCATAATCACATATATAGATCGGTGAATGCAAAACCACTAAAGATATAGTTAACTTATACAAACTTTTAATAAATAGGTTTTTTTAGATGACAATAATAACTAAACATATGTTTAGTAGATCAACATCACAAAAGTCAAATTATGTTTAACTCATACTAACACTTGTACCTTGTACCTGTTGAAACTCACACATTGAAATAAACCAATTGTTAACTGTATTCTAAAATGATTTGATAATTTAAAAAACTCCATATGCATATGATGCAGTTTAAAATTGTTGATATAGAACTTATGTACATAATTTTACATCTACCTTGGGATAATAAATCTTGCATAGTCATTGCGACCGCACTCCAAAATTTATTGTTATCAGTCTTTACTTTTTCTACATTTGTTGCCTGAGTTGTAAAACATATTGTAATATGTTTGAATTTTCTTCACAGAAGCTAATGTCATACATGTGCAAGCTAGCTATCCTCAAATAGTAGAACAAATATAGGTATATTGATAGAAAATTATCAAGTGTCCTTGACTCTTTCATCAAACCACGTGTGCACCATAGTGGGTACATGATCGTGTCAGATCCCTCGTGTCAAAATACTTTGTTCGTTATATTATTTAATTAGAATCAAGCATGCTTGCAACAAAGGTAAAGATAAACTTTACAAAAAGACAAATAACACCACCCTCATGGTTAGAATTAACCTGTATTTGATTATTAGCGTCAATGGCTTCAGCATCTACAGACATTGAGTCAAGTAACATGACTTCACTTATATAAAATTGTTGAAAATGATAGCACTAATAATGAATACTAAAAAAGAAAACAAGATCGAGCATATGTAGTGGAGATAAATAGAAAATTATAAAAAAATACAAATAATATTACCCTCATGGCTAGAATTAATCTGTATTGGAACATTAGCATCTATAGCTTTAGCATCGACAATGTTCAATCAAGTATTACAACTCACATAAAAATTGCTAAAATTGATATTACTAATAATGAAAGATAAAAGAGTAAATAAAAACACATTATGTGTGCAACTTACATAGCATTTATGTAGACACTAAGTACACATAGGCATTAATGTGCATAATTAATAACAATATACAACATATAAACAAAATGTCAAAAACCAAATATTTCATTAGGAAGATAGAATATGTCTATATAACTTTCGAAGTACAATCAAAATGAACCAAATACATTTTAAATATTTGGAAGAAAACGACATAAGTAGTGATCGGAAACCTATTCCTAAAACCACTCATTGATTTTCACAATCCCCGCTTCTTGGATCACCATAGTTAGCTGCCCTTTGAACTAGGCTTTTTTCAACTCTTCAACGCCAAAAATACTACATTCATACTTTCAGATCTGACACTACAAACGTTTGGTGTCAGGGACAACACGACATTGCATATTGTTTTCCTTATTTCTATCTGAGAGCACTTTAGTCCGGATACTGCTTCATCGAAAGTGTAACTTTTGGGAACTCAATAAGCAATTTATGCTTAGTAAGTTTGAAGACATCAAATAAGGAGTTTAGCAGTCCATGAATATTTTCTACTTCATCAAGTTGGGGTACCATTTGTACTTTTATATTTAACAAAATGTTTCTCATGTTTTAATATGTTTCTATATTGTCTCAATGTCTTATTTGTTTTCATCTTATGTGTCATATCTCGTTTCTTATTCGGACTTCGATATGGTACTTCCATTTTAGGTGTGTATAGTTGATCCTTCCCTAGTTTTCTAAAGTCCTTGTCCTTGCAGTTTGTACCCAACACACCTTGGCTAACATAAAATAAAAAAGCGCATATTAGTATTGCATCAAAACTCACAATGTAGCAAACCAATGTTTTCCCTCAATTCTACTTATTTTAAATGTTTTTTTTAGAATTTATGTATTTTTAAGTGGATGCTTACCAATTTGAAAATACTTATACTCATTTTTCTTTTCCAATCAAGTCTATGCATTGGATTAGATAATAAATATTTTTCTATTGTATATTCCCAGATTTGTTATGGAATGGTGACAGGAAGGGGCAGGCCTAGGGTTAATAGCGGATTAATAGCAAAAACACTAATACTTACATGGGAATGGAGTGTCTTAGAGTTTAGTGTTTATTGTTCTCATTACATAAAAAACTTTATAATAATTACAAATCATCAAAATATGTAAAAGCTTTAATAAATCGGAGAACATCTCCCCATAATTCCTATTCCATGTGGAGGAATCTATAAGGATTTATTGACAATGGAAGTTTTGCTCTCAAAACAAATAAGTTCTAACTGAGAAGAGGAAAAAAAGGAACATGCTAAAAACAAAACACAGAGGCAGTATAACTCAATCACTCGTAACTCACAAATAATCCAAAGATAATTGCACATCCATTGCAAGAGATAATTATTTAAAGAAAAATAAAATTTAAGTTTAATGACACCAGCAGTTTGCATATGACTCAACATCATGGTACTAAAAAAGATGATTGTGGCACAGTCATTACAGAAGCATCCAACCATGCAAAATCCTTAATAAAATGAAGAATCTCCACATAATTTCTCTTCTGTATCCTGAAGACAACTGTGAGTTATTGATAATGCAAGTTTTTAATTTCAGAATAAATAAAAAAAACTAATTTGAATCTTTCACCTATTCCATATGTTCATAGTCATTCAAGGAGGGATGACTGAAAATTTGCATGAAATTTGAACCTGATATTTAATTTCATAAACTTCCTTTTTTCTAAAGCTCTAACTTAGCCTTTATAAAAGCATCATACTGTAGGTATCAAACATCACTAAATTTGCCTCAAAAATTATAGCATTCCTAATAGTATATTGGCTTATATTTACAGTATAAGAATAAAATTTCCATTATACTTTAGGAAGAAGATATTAAAATCAGAAAATGTTGGACAAATAAATGTTTAAAAAGATAAACACGTTAAAGCATGTTAGAGAAGTGAGATACTGTCAGTACAAAAATGCCAAAGGTGTAGGGATCAATTTGTTCGTATTCCTTGCTCCACACATTAGATAAGCAAAATGAATAACAATTACGTCTGAGGAGATTGAAATCATGGGATAATTTGGATGGTCAAGCCCTCGTCTTCTTTCTTCTTGGACTTACAAAATTTCGTTTATCTTTTCACTTAACGATCAAGCTAGCAGATACTATACTGAGTTAAATGGCTACTAAAGGTCATCCATAAATTAATCATTAAGGTAACCTAGCATAATAGTTAAAAACAATCAAAAGTATTCAATACAAAAAAATTATTTTAAAATACACTCAGTTGTCCTGAACTATCTAAACTTAAAGAGCGGCCAATAAATTTCTACATCTTTATACATGCAGAAAACTAGTATACCCATCTCCTTCAAATTAAAAAGAACTACAAAAATGAAATCTTATGAAGAATATTTCAACAGTAATGAAGGATCCATAGAAAATGAATAAAGAATCAATAAGAAAACAATATTTAAGTAAACCTTAAAATAAAAACATGAATTAACTTCAAAATTTGAACATTTAGAGCTTCAGTGCCTCAAATATCATTTGTGAAAGAAATTGTTAGAATCAATCTTCATAACCTTGACCCTTGAAGAGAGGGAGAGGGTAGGCGATGGACTTGTAGAGTTATATGTCAAACATGAAATGACAAGATGATAGATGTAGAGAATGAATATAGGGAGAAGTTGAAAAATGAGAGAAGCAGAAGATGAAACGCAGACAGTGGACTTTGGAGTTTAAACTGGTAGTATATAAGCATTAGGATGGATTGTAGTTTAAAATGGCTATTCAGTTGTCAGGCAATGGACTTTGGAAATCATTCATAGATTTCTTAATTTTAGTTTTAACTGTCAAAAAGTTTGTGGACTGCGGAGACTGAAGAGTTTGCTATTCATAGTCTTGATTGGGCCTTTTCCATAGCCATGAATGCAAAGGGTTTAATTTTTTTCCCAAATGCCTTTTTTTTGGTTGCCTAGTGTGGTAGATCTCTGCTTTGGTAGCAATATATAAATATCTTTAGTGGTGGAAATCGGAAAAATAAATTTCTACTTGGTTGTTCCTGATCAATGGGCATTTCTGGATGGATTACTTAAAAATTGGATGGATTACTTAAAAATAAACGTTTACTTCGGTGTCAAGTGCATGCATTCTGTAGACTATGCCCAAAGTGGTAGGGATAGGATACTGTGCATTTTGTAGAATCTTTCTTGCATTGATTGTAGAAAATATCAGAGTTCAATTATGTGGATATTTGAACCCGTATCAAGATACATATAGGTGTCAGTACTAGACCTGCAATACTTAGAACATTTTTTCCCACATAAATACATGACTCATATATTCATATGTATGACGATGTGTGTTGTCATCTTCATTAAGTGGATGTATTAATATAATACATCATGCATGAATATTGTAGCTTTCAGAAGCCTCTCCCTATAGGACATTTCTCTTTGTATAAGACAATTCAATAAAATAAGCTAACACTTTAATCAAAATAATGTAAACTAGGATGGAATACTGTTTATTTACACTTCTTCACAACATAGCTCAGACTGGCTCTGACAATGGCTCCTGCTGCACATATGACATATCAGAGGGTGGTGTGCATGGATGTCCCCAGACTTGAACTAGGTTCTCGAAGCTGATGTTATTACTTTCAGGCTAGCTGCTCAGCTTGTTAGTAGTATTGTCTAGCTAATAACTTGAGTTCCAGAAAGTAGGGAGTATGATTTTAACCTAGATGGGAGTTATTTGTTGACACACGATGGCTGAAGCAATACTGCATTTATCTCTAATTGAGAACCGTTGTCAGTTGATATTACTTTCCTTTTTGCCGTAATCGATCCAAACTTTAGCTTACTGCCTTGGTAACTTTGTGTTTTTCTTGTTTTGGAAAATGTATATATATATATATATATTTTTTTTGTTAATGCATGGACAGACATTCTTCAAGGATTACATGGGAGTCCCATTACATATGGAACCAAATTTCAGTGACTATAGCTGCCAGGTATACTATGTATCCTTTCATCATATGTAACTCTATGCAAAATATATACATGTTTGAAAATAAAACAAAGTAGATACAAGTGTTTCTTTCTTATCTGAGGGTGAGGGTAGCTACACTTGTATCTTTTTTTTTATTTTTTTTAAACATGTTTATGTATGGTGCTTGTGACTGCTGCACGGCTTCCTTCTTCTGTTACTCTTGAGTCTGGTGATCTATCTCGTTGTTTGGTGGGTTTGGCGCTACTAAAATAATGTTATCGTGGTTGGATTCATATCATAATTCTTCTTCTTCATCTTGCCTTTGTAGTTCAAATTCGGAGTTCCTGCACCATTGCCTTCCTGTGACGAAGCACTACAACAAGCATGCCTGGAAATATGTCCAAATGCTAACCGCCGCAGGGAACTGAGCAATAGAAATTCTGTTTCTCAGTGTCCACAAGTATGAAAAGGGTTCGTGTAGGAAACTCCATAAGGTTGCACGTATAAAGGACTTATTGTTACTATTCCACAAAATATACGGTTGTAAAGATTGCACAAAGAGGGATTCTTCCTCTCCAGTAATTACTTTGGAAAGTTTCGGGTGCAAGTATAAAAAAATTGTACGGTGATGACAACGAAGTTTGGATCTTTTTGAATGCAAGTATAGAGAGAAACTGATGTCCTTTAGTCCATATTTTCCATTACTCCTACACTTTTAATGCCTCTGAAATTCAATTTTCATTCTAACTTTTTCTAGCAGAAATACTTCAGCCTTCTGTAGTGTTGTTTTCCATTATATCCACGAGGCAAGTTCGTTAACTTCCATCACGTTTAATGTCACCTATGCATCTTATGTCAAAACAGAAAAACCTTTGACAATCTGAACCAATTTACCGATTTAAGTGCAAGTTAAACGCACTACGACGAACTGACTTGCAGTATCATGGGTGCGTACACAGAAAGGTTTTTTTTATTTATTTATGTATCTACTTATTTATTTATAAGAGTTTACTCTGAAAGTTGATTGTGAGATCGTAAAGATCACTGCAAAAGTCACACTACTCATTTTCATTCTAATTTTTTATGTAAATTAATATTAACTAGACTTAAAATAATTATACTACAACCGTTCTCCTAGATACGAAAAAGTGGAAACCGCTACCATGGATCAGAATAAGAATTTCTAGCGTAACTTCTTTGTGTCGTGTTACAAGAATAATGTAACTCCCATAGGCAAATCAGCATTATTATTATTATTATTATTATTGGTACAATAGTCGAATCAGCATTACTCTCTACAGAACACATACAAACACATCTCAGTATTATTTATATAATATGATGGCTAAAGGTGGCCTTGGCAGCTATAACGCGAGGTCTTCCAGGTGCAGATTTGTTCTCAAGCTTTTCCTCAGCAGCAAAGACTTTTAACCTGGGTTTTCCTACAATCCAGCCCCACACCTACTACTTTTTTTTTTTTGAGCTGAAAAGCAGAGAATAAATTTCCCTGCTCAAAATATATTCATATATGTACTGAAGAATAAGTCTAAACATGTACAAACTTACAAAACTTACAAAAAAGACTGGGTTTGGAGGAACAAGAAGAAAGGAGTCGATAGGGAGCGGACCTTGTCGTCACCTATCATGACTCTTCCCCCTTGTACCTACCTCACAGTAGGGAGAACCCCCCAGAAAAAAAAAGCAAACTAATCACTGGCTGAAAACAATCTACCGCCCATAAAAGCACAAAGGCGTCAAAAAGAACATAAAGGAAAATAAATGACAATCTACCGCCCCACACCTACTACTTATCCTAGAGTTTAGTTCTATCTACTTACTTTACAAAATCTTAATACCTGCACAAGTTCACTCCACAAGAAAATCACCAAACTAGCACCAAACAAGGAAAATAAATGACAACTGCAACAAACCTGGTTTAGATCTTAAGCCTTCCTCCAATGCTCAATTGTTGCTGCTGCAATTACCCAATAATTGTAACAAACTTCCACCACCTACACTACTCGACACCTTTTAAGCCGCCAAAAAAGTGGGGGTGAAAGAGTTTTAAAAAAAATCCTGGACCTGTAGGTTAACCGTAGAAAAGAATAAAAAGGCAAATATATTTATTCTGGTAATTTACAAATTAATACACCGGCTTCGAATAAACATAGGTAGTTCTCTAAGCACGTCCCGTTACATGAATATTACATGGTATCATTTCGTACATCTCCTGTATATCCAGCGGATCTCTACTTCAAAGTGCTCCATCAAAACAGCAATCTGTAATCTGTTGCATAGAGAAACACAACTCGGGAACCCATTCCCCAAAACATACCAGAAAAAAAAAAATCAAAATGCCAAAGAAATCTATCCTTATGAGAATAAAAATATAAAATCTTTCCTTCCTAAAAGATTACTCCAGTAACTGAACAACTATTATGTCAACTCATTTTTTAAAGAAATATAACAAAGTGCATTAAGCAAAGACATTATGTTTAGAGGTACCAGGAGATATCTAACAAAAGATACAGAGAATTAGTATGTAAAAACTTAAAACCCTAGTTTCCTAGCAACTGGAAATTTTGTTGTGGTAGAAAACATGTTTAGTTTCCCAAAACATGGATGACATGGCAAATCCTTAAAAGGTTGGAGATCAATGCATCGAGATACAACAACCGTGTGCAGGTGTGATCACTCAAGACCCTAGCAATACAACAATGTTCACTGAAAATTGAAAGAAACAACTAAAACCATGAGGGTCAAAAACTTTGTAGGCTATTGGCAGGAAGACAATGAAACAATGATGGTTCAGTTCGATGTTAGCTGAGAAGTTTGAGCATAATGGTGGGCCAAGTTAAAAGCAATAAAAAAAACTTAAACCTAATGTTGTCGGACACACAATACAAGTGGATAATTGTAGTTGTAGTTTCAGTATCATAAATTATATATGGAAAAAATTTCCTGAGGTGACACCTTAGATTCAATCTAAGGTAGCACCTTAAAACTACGTTACATGCAATCATTTTACTTGATCCACTCCATTTAATTTCAATTTATATGATTTGAATTGTATATAAACAAAAAATTAGGCATATTGGGTTATAGTTGCTCACGTATCAAGTAATTGTAAAATTAATAGTTTGCCAAGAATACAATTAAAGAGACTGAAAAATATGTGTTAGAAACATTGAAACATCATGATTTTTGTTTTATATATGTTTTAAAACATTTAGATCATGACGAATTGAGTGAATCATCCATTTTAATAGTCTAATCCGTAAATCAAAATGTGCTACCTTTGATTGAACCTAAGATGTCACCTTAGAAACAATTTTTCCATAATATGTTCCACCAATGTATATATATGTAGTAAAGCTCCTATAAATTTAAGTGGATGGGAACACTTGTCCATCAAACTTTTTATCCGTTCATTATGCTTTGAGATTTGTGCTACACATCAATGCTATCTTTGAGATTTGTGCCTTCATTTGTATCACATGCTAGCGCAAATCTTAATGCAAAATCAATGGACAAAAATGTTGGTGGGCAAAGAGCTTCTATCCACTTAAGTTTATAGGAGCTTTAATATATATGTATGTATGTATGTACGTATACATATATTTTTGTGTGTGTGTGCGTGTGCGTGCGTGTGTGTATATATATACTTTGAGATTTGTGCCTTCATTTGTATCACATGCTAGCACAAATCTCAATGCAAAATCAATGGACAAAAAAGTTGGTGGACAAAGAGCTTCTATGCACTTAAGTTTATAAGAGCTTTACTCTATATATATACACAAAAGACACATACTTCATATTGGGGTTCAAAGAGTATCATATATTATAGCACTTTTAGTTAGGGATGGTAATGGCGACATGCATATTTTGATATTTGAAAACAAATATTTTTAGGATTGACAAAATTCTTTTTTTCTGAGTGAACTAAAAAACTTTTTCAGATGATATGGAAAGGTCCAAGACTAACAGTCACTAAATTGATCTTATATGCAAGATAGGTATCATACATGTAAGGATAAATGACAGGTTGTCATTGATTTGGCACCTAAATTTGCCTTAAATCTGACTGAAACATGAATTGTCAGGCTGTTGTTCTTTTGTTCCCTCGGATATATGGAGTAAGACATTTCTCAACAAAATAAATTATTTATTGCACAAGGGCTTATTTGTAAAGCATTGTCAACATGGTTCCATACCTAACTCAGTTGTAGCCCTTGTCATCTACATCCTAACATATAGATAAAAATAGGATCCCCATGATAACTTCCTGATCCGTTTAAAACTTAGCAGATTGGTATTGCCTAGAATAATCAACTATAATCCCTACACTGATGGGTTCTTCTTTTGTGTGATAAACAAGCCATTAACAAAGGAAGGGACACAAGAGACCAACACAACAGTCAACCTAATACAAAGCTCATGATTCTCTGATAAGCTCAGTGAGTATTTATGACACAATAGAACTGTAAGCCATATAACATGGGCAGAATAAGAATTCTACCTTTAACTTTCCTGTGTGGTTCTTACTAAGCAACTTCTAATAATAGCATCCTCCACTCTCCCCCATCACTCTGCCTAACAAGGTAATACCGCACAAAGAAAAATGGTCTCCACTCAAAATACAAATACAATATGCAGGTCTCTCCTATATTTCCCTTATCTAACCAAGCCTATACATGCATTTATTTGCACTAAATAAATCAACATGAGCTTTAGAATTAGCTATTCCTAGGTGCTTGGATTGTTTTAGCGCTAATACTTGACAAATGTTCACCATTTGTAGACTTTTACTAAAAGTTCCATCCTTGCTTCGACTCCCAAAAGCTTGACATAATTGTTGTTACTACTCTCTATGCTTCAAATGGGCTTTGAGCTTTCCTTGTTCCACCACAAAGTACTTTCATTATCCTTATAGGCTTCATAGATAATGATTTTTTGTCGTTGACTCGTTGGTGCTGCTCCCTTTGCTATAATGGGTTCTGAGCTTCCTCGTTCCACCACAAACTACTTTCATTATCCTTAGAAGCTTCATATATTCTCTTCAACTACCTTTTTTTTCTCGCTGTTAGTACGCATTGTTTCATATAGCATACTTTCTACATCAATATTCCAATTCCCTTTAACTTGTACAAGGTGTCATATGGTAATTACTTTTCCTAACTAATTTTTTTTAATTACCTTAACATATTATTCCATACAACTTAAATTTCTTCATCTATATCCCAACTACATCTTTCTAACATTACATCCATACATGGCATCGATTTCTTAACATTCAAGTTCCAACTTTCATCACCTAGCTCTCGATCTCTTATTCATCATAACTTTTTGTCTTCTACTTCGTAATACAAACATCTTGAACAAAGAAAAACCATCAAGCCCCTTCCAGTAACATCTGCACGCTACTTTATTAAGCTTTTGCTCTCCTTTCAAATCGCGGTCACAATCCTCCCTACACAATGTCTGTACTCGAACATTTTGTTTACTCTAGTTACAATTACTCCTATCCCTTTATATGCCAAGGATACTTCATTCACAAGTTACAAATATATATAAACGCAAAAGCTCCAGAAACACTGACAAAACATCCAGGACTGGAAATTCATCGAGGAACACTTCAAAAAACAATTATTTCACTAGGCTTCTTGCATTTATGTCTAGAGGTGTACATACAAGGAAGATTCATTAAGTAACAGATAGTAAAACAAGGGCAAAAGGGTTAAAAGAAATTATGATCAAGCAAACAGAAGCCCAAATAATTTAACTATTACAAAATCAATTAAGCACGATTAAAATAATTTATAATTTCTATTTCTCAACAAAAAAAAAATATGTTCATACATTGGAGAAATTTTAGCGATCCCATCCAGACGGTCGCTTTCTCTCTCGACGTCTATCTCCAGAACTGCAAATCAGAAATATAAAATTAAAAAAGATTCTAACTGTTTTGATAGATTAATTAATGAAACAATCTGCGCAGCTTTCTACTAGAAACTGCCCAAGTTGGCGCTCTTTGATTTCTTGAAACTGATTGATGAATTCCTTTAAAAGTTGGAATCCTAATACACCACTTCCTACTTGAGACTGGCCAATTTGAAGACATTCTCGACTAGCAATTACTTCCAATTAATAGTTGGGAAAGGGGGATGATAACTTAATCTAGATTTAAGCATCTAATTGCAATTGGAATTTTGTCTCTATAAATTATTGTTCCACATGGGGAAAATTCCATGTAGCAACTTTTAAATTGTAGAAAACATGAAATCCACTCATTCACAGAAAGCAAACCTTTCAGTCTTCTGATTTCCATTTGAACTACTGGTTCCACCAGAAGGCTTAGAGTTTATTGCTGGTTGTGTCTTGTATGATTCTCCGCCAATCGAACCTCCAGATACAAAACCAGATAACACAGGCCTGGAGCTTGCTTGATTTCTACTAACACTCTGAGGATTAGATGTAGCAGCAACAAAATTATTTTTGAATTGTGTCATCATCCCTGTCCTTAATGAATTAACAGCAGCAGATCTATTTGAGTTAGACTGAGAAGATGATGCCGAGGACTCGGGCTTATAGCCAATTCCCAAGCCAAAATCAACACCACGCACCCCTCGGCCACTTCCACCACCCCCTTTTCCTTTGCCTCCCCCTTTCTTACCACCTGTGGGAGGTTCTCAAATTATTATGAAGTTGATATTTACAAAAATTGAGGAAATAATAAAAAAGAATAATCTAGAACACAAGCAATCTATTTATAGTTGACATCTTTAAACAATTTATACTTACAAACCTTTTCTAGCATCACGTTTGGATCTGAATTTCCCATCCTAAAACGTTACAGACAACACAATTAGCAATCGTCAGATAAACGTGATATACAATCATGTAAACTTCATAAATTTAAAATTATTAGAATGAAAATTCACATGAAAAAATAAATAAAAGAGTAAAAGGATACTGAGAGGAAGAAAAAAAAAACGAGTCATAGCTTAACAAGAAGGTAATAGAAAAATAAATAAAAGGAGGATGTAGAGGAGCCCAAACTAAAATAAACAAGCATATGATTGATTATCATAAAATTCACTACTCAAAATAACAAAGAAAGTTTTACCTTCATAGCAAGGTCCATCAGTTCAAGAGACACATTCTGACCAGCAGCAATTAAACTGTTGACCAGCTCACCAGCAAAGCGTGCTTCCTTTTGTGTGATAAGTGTGTAGGCAGTACCATCCTTATCTCCAGCACGACCCGTTCTTCCAATACGGTGGACATGCATGTCCATGTCTCTGGCAATATCAAAATTAACAACTGACTTGATTGACTTGATGTCAAGTCCACGAGCTGCAACATCAGTTGCAATTAGAACATGATAAACTCCTGACTTGAATTTCTGTAAAATTTCCATTCTCGATGCCTGATCTTTGTCACCATGAAGTGAAGCAACCTTGAAAGATTTCTGAATTAGCTGGGTCTCAATCTCATCAACTGTAGTCTTTTTAGAAGCAAACACAAGGACATCTCCCTCATCAATCATTCCAGGTAACTTCTCAAGAAGCCAAGGCATTTTCTCTGCATCTGAAGGAAGTACATATACTACTTGAGTAATGTCCTCGTTGGCCATTCCAACTTCACCAACAGTAACTCTAATTGGATCTGAGAGACTCTCTCTGGCTAATCGCTCAACTTTGAAAGGCATAGTCGCAGAGAAGAGTAATGTTTGCCTATCTGGCCTTATCTGGCCAACAATAGATCGTATCTGTGGTTCAAACCCAAGATCAAACATCCTGTCAGCTTCATCAAGAACGAGGTATGTTGTCCTATACATCGATAGAGCCTTCATTTTTAGCATGTCTATAAGCCTGCCAGGGGTGGCAACGACAATCTCACAACCTGCCTTGAGTTCTTTGAACTGATCCAATTTCGACATACCACCATAAACAGCTGAAACACGAATACCATGGGGTTTTGCGAACTTCTTTGCTTCTAGAAATATCTGATGGGCTAATTCTCTTGTAGGTGCACATATCACACCTATTGGACCCTCTCCTTTTCCAAGTTCAGGCTGGTCCATTATGTGGACAATCATTGGAAGAACAAATGCTGCAGTTTTGCCTGAACCAGTTTTTGCGATGCCAATGATATCCCTTCCAGAAAGGACAATAGGTAAAGCTTGGCACTGGATTGATGTTGGCCTTTCGTAGCTCTGCTTTGAGATAGCACTCATTAATGTAGTAGAAAAACCACAATCTTCAAATGCTTTGACTGGCTTTGGCACATCAAAACCAGACACACGTATAGCTAAACTTTTACGATATTCAGCAACATCTTGGTCACTCATTCCTGGATAAGATGAATAGGAAGTGAAGATCAGCGGATATTTTGCATTCCGTGAAAACATTACTAGGATATTGAAATGCATTGCTAAAGGCGAACTGTTGATAAAGTTTCCAGCACCCATGGTGCACCCGGCAGTCAGTAGAAAGCAAGATTTTGTGCCAACAGGTGAAGATTTCAAACATCCCAAATAAGTATTGGATCTTGTTAGTCATTCTCTAAAAAATTTTAACTTCGGCATTTGGTAGACGAGTTTCAATGACGATTGATTAGTTTTATAGGCAATGTGTTTCCCCCCTTCTTTTCCTTTCCACTTGGTGCTAACTTTGCATACTGTTTGTAAAGTATAAGTGACTTATCAAGTTTGCTGCTAGGTTTAGATATTTGTTTCTAAGGTTAAGTATAGCTTCCTATCTCCCAACATGTGATACATTCTCCTTAGAACTATTAAGACGGAGATGTATCAGGGTAGGACTTTGCTTAATTCTATGGGGGACCTTGAAAATCCTTGGTAGGACTCCATGTAAAGCCCAGACAGCATAGTTCCATTCGGCAAACATGTGAATCACAAACATCTGGACTTGCTGTTATATTAAGTAAAAAAATTAAAAATTGTTGTTCATCACAAGTATAGACTACTGAGTTTTTAACAATTCAAACTCCTCTTCATCCTAACATCAACCTCTGAATTCACTCCAAATTAAAAAAGCAACTAAGTTATACCTGAGATGGACGGCTTTTCCTCGTAAAAGTCTTTACAGAAGGCATCATACTCAACGGAACTGTGATCCAACGCCGCGATCGGCTCAATCTTCCTCTTATCCACAAGAATAGGATTATCGTCCGAATCGTACTCCAACATCCCGGCATCCACGGCCTTGGCCGCCGCGTACACCTCCTCATCGGAATTGTACCCCGCCCTCAGCGCATCGGACGCCAGCGTCAGCCCCAAATCCTTCTTGGCCTTCAAGAAGCTCTCCATCGGGTCGTCGTCCTCATCGTCATCGTACTTGTTGCCCATCGTCTGCTTCTTGGCAGGATTGGGAGGAGGGGGAGCTCGGATCTCCTCCTGGATCCCCTCCATGAAGGCGTCGAGGGGGTCGATCTCTTCGGTGTCATCGTTAGGGTTAGGGTTTGGGTTTGGGTTGCCTTCGGGATGGTCACCGGCGTCGTAATCAATGTTGTCGAGGTCGCGGTCCTCCTGGTTGTCGTGGGCGGGGGCGTAGAGGCGCTGGGGGGCTTCAGAGCGCTCGAAGTTGTAGGTAGGCTGGCGATTGATGCTGAATCCTTCGAATCCGAACTTGCGCTTCGACATTTGGAAGATGGAGGCCTACGGATTTTGGAGGAGAGAGAACCCTAACTTTAGGGTTTTGATTTGATTTGGAGATTTATAATTTATTATTTTTATTTAATTATTTTTTCTCTTTCTTTTTGGAAGAGACAGAGGGAGAGTTCGAGATGAAGGGAGGAGGCCGGCGGGAGTCGTGACTCGGCCAAACCGACCCTTGGATGGAACTTCGAGGTGCGGTCACCGCATGAAGAGAATGGAGGTGTAAAAACCCTAGTCTTTTATTTTTATTTTGGAAAAATTGCTTCAAGGCCCCAAATTTATATTTTCAATATGCTCTAGCCCCCCTAACTTTTAAACATGTGCTGCAGCCCCACCTTTTTGAAAAAATTATTAAAAGCCCCTCTCCCCAAGTTCCTATGCAAACTTTATACACAATCCCCATTTTACCCTCCCCTACACACCCCTCCTCCTCCTCCGTTCCCCCTCTGCCTCCGCCCCGCCTCCCTCCCCTCCCCCTACACCTCCTCCCCCCCCCCGCCTCCCCAATGTTAACTCTTTTTCTGTAACATGTTAACTCTTTTCTGTAACATGTTAACTCTTTTCTATTAACTGTTAACTCTTTTCTGTAACATGTTAACTCTTACAGCTAACATGTTAGCTGTTAGAGTTAACATGTTAGCTGTAAGAGTTAACATGTTAGCTGTAAGAATTAACATGTTATCTGTAAGAGTTAACATGTTACAGAAAAAAGTTAACATTTTACAGAAAAGAGTTAACATGTTACAGAAAGAGTTAACATTTTACAGAAAAGAGTTAACATGTTACCGAAAAGAGTTAACATGTTACAGAAAAGAGTTAACATTTTACAGAAAAGAGTTAACATCCACTGACATAAGAAAGAGGAGGGTAAATTCGGGATTTAAATCAGCTGATATGTCTAATCATGAGCTGGCATGTCTAATCAAGTGCTGAAATGAGCTGGAATCATGATGGAGGGGCTTGGCCATATTTTTTTCAAAAAGAGGGGCTAAAGAACATTAAAAAAAGTAGGAGGGGCTAGAGCATATTGAAAATATAAATTTGGGGCCTAGAAGCAATTTTTTCTTTTATTTTTATTTAATTAATTCTCAGTTGCACTTAAACACGTTTTAGTTTCTCCTATTTCGCACTTTTATATCCTCACATGTTTTCACAGACGCATATATACACTAATGGTGTGTTTGGGAGTTTACTTAGGGTGTGTTTGGATTTAAATACGGTTAAGGGAAGTTAAGGGAAATTAGGGTGTGTTTGGATTTAAATGCGGTTAAGGGAAGTTAAAAAGGGAAACTAGGTGAGAGAATGGAAGGGAGTTCTCTTCTCCTTGGTTACACCCCAATTTGGGGGCTAACAGATTTTATACTATTAAGGGGTGAACCAAGGAGAACTAGGGTGAATAACTTCACCTCCTAAATGTTCCCAAACAATGAATGGTTCCTCTAACTTCTCTTCTCACTTATTCCCCTTAATCCAAACAAGCACTTAGGGAAGGAAAGGAAGGGGAAAGAATTTGGGGTGTAAGAATTTGGGTTAAATTTCCCCTCCCCTTCCTTCCCTTTCCCTCCATTACACCCCAATTTGGGGTGTAAGAATTTGGGTTAAATTTCCCCTTCATTCCCCTCCTCTACCCTCCAAAATGAAACTCCCAAACAAGGTTAAAATAAAATTTTTCTTCCCTTCCCCCTCTTTACCCTCCATCCAAACAGGCCATAAAGTTTTCAAAATTTACACTTAACTGGTTATGTAAACACAAGAATTTCAAACTCTCATGTGACATTCACATGCTAATTTTAGAACTTTTAAATTCTTAAATTTAATTTTACTGTTAAAAGTACTGTAATTATATTTTAAAGTTGTTGATGTTAATAGCCATACAGATAATGTACTTGGGGTGAGGTTGATTAAAGGCCGCTAACTTCTCCGAATATCTGATTTTGAGTTGAGCAGCTTCTGTAGGATCTGATCCAATCACAATAAAACACTAGGGGAGTGAATAGTATTCTTTTAAAAATTAATGCAAAGAAGATTATAATTTGCAAAGAAATAGCACAATCACAGATAATAACAATCACAAACACAGAATTTTATACTGGTTCCACCTCCTAGGTGTACATCCAGTCCCCAAGCAAATCCCGCTTAAGAGTTCCACTATGATTTTGAAAAACTTACAAAATTAAAACATCAAACCTAACCAATTTACAAGTCCCTGCAAATTGTACCCAAACTCTTCACCAAGAGATTACACCTCTCACACCCGAGAGAACACTTGTCTTGATACAACTTGATTCCTATAAGCCTTGATAGTATTGTGACGTGTAGCAGTGGCTAGGAACGTTTTGAATCTCTGAAAATTGCCTAACTTGATTGTATATTGAATGAGTATCAAAGGCAAAATCAGAAAATAGTTTTTCTCAACACTTAGTGAAAATCTAAAAAATTTTCTTTTGAAAGATGCACAAAACTTGAATCTTATGTGTAGGAATTCGTGACGCAAAATTCTGAGCATGTATCATATTATAGCCTTGAAAAGATAGGTTTTCAAATCCTAAAAACGTACACAAAACGACTATAAACTATCATTAATTTGAATTCTGAAATGTCAGAAAACTGTCTTAGTAGTCGACTAATTGTTGTTGTAGTCGACTACTCTGAGTTCAACAAACTTCAGAAAACTCAGAATTTTCCGTACTAGTCGACTATTATTGTCATTAGTCGACTACTCTGTAAAACAAAAAATTTAGAATTCAACATTCGAAGCTGAGTAGTCGACTATAATCCTTAGTAGTCGACTACTCTGTATTTTTATAGAAATTTATATTTTGATCTAAGATTTTAGTAGTCGACTACTAAGGGGTAAAAATGTCACGTATGAAATATTTTTAGACTCAATGATTAACTAAATATTATAATGGTTAACATAGGGGATTTCTATTGTTAACCAACACATTAAGCCTGTCTTAGTGTGTTGTAATCTCTATGTGTGTGTATGTGTGAGTGATCAAGGCTTGTACAAAATTTCTAAGTAAACAAAATGTAAAAAATTATATTGATATATAAGCTCTTCATCTTCTTTACTTCTTGATACCTTGAACTCATATTGTACTTTGTTCATGTTGATAACTACATTAAAATGTTAGTACATACACATAGTGATTCACATTATGAATAAATTGTTATTATCAAAATTATATCATGGGGACATGATATCCAACATTCTCCCTCTTTTTGATGATGACAAACAATTTATGCATATGTAAGTGTATTTTAAAAGAAATAAACATTAATAAAAAAATATACTTACTCCCCCTGCATAAAAGCATATTAGAGTCTGCAATTCATATTTTTGAGTCTATATAACATAATTCTGATACCATTCTCCCCCTTTGTCATTAACAAAAAGACATATTTTTGAGTCTATATAACATAATTCTGATACCATTCTCCCCCTTTGTCATTAACAAAAAGAAATACACATCTATCCTAACTATATAACATAATTCTGATACCATTCTCCCCCTTTGTCATTAACAAAAAGAAATACACATCTATCCTAATCATGTCATAATTTACTCTTCATGAGCTAACACTTCAAAAAGATCTTCCAAATTGTGAGCATAGTCCATCACTTCACTCATCCATATGGGTAGGCAAAGACTTGCCATAAATATCAAAATTTTGACAATTTTTATCTTCACAATCTGTTTGTAATAGAAGTATCTCATGAACACAAAATATAAAATATAAACCTAGTAAGCATGATTAAAAGAAGCACAAATTCATACATAGTCTTAAGCAACATAAACATAATAGCAACATACGACATATTACACAAGTCTTAAAGCAAATAACTAACACATAGTTTTTGACACATAAACTTAAACAAACCAAGTTAACACATAGTTTTTAACATAAACATGAAACTAAGCCAAACACTACATGATGCATGCATGGTCCTCTAACATGAAGGTCCTGGAGGAGGTGGATGTTCTTGGAAAAAATGCATTGAGCTTCATATCCAAGTTATCAAATTTCTTGATTAACTCCTCCTGATTACTGATGATGTAATTGTTCTGGGAATAAAGAGCTCGCTGATCAGTCTCTAACTCAAGCATGCATGCAGACAATGTGTTATATTGCACATCCGATAAGCAAGAAGGTTTTGATTGCATTTGAGGTGGTTGTTGGCTAGAAGAAGGGCCTTCATGACTTGAGGATTATGGAATATCTTGTGGAATTTGTTTTTGAGTATGTTGAGGCTCATCTTGGTGATGTTGATCATGAAGTTCAAAATTAGTTAACTTCATCTTAGTTAGGGTATTATAGTCAAAGAACTCAATGGAACGAACGACAAAATTTTCTGATTCAAGATCGACATGATATTTATCAAAGACATTTGTTTAAAATGCACTATAAGGAAAAAATCCTTTTGGTATAGTCAAGAGATTGTCATAATAAACTTCATCTCAAACTTGGATATTCCCCACTATAGCATATAAGGCTTTTTCTAAATCTAGGGAAATAAAATAAAAACTCTCAGTTTTTGGAAATATATTATAGGCTAAGATTCGAGCAATAAAATAAGGAATTGGACGAATTTTATTTGAATTATTTAAAGGTTTACCATAACCCGGAAGAAAAATATGATTGGATAGAAAATTTGCATCATTCATTTTGATTGATCTAAGAGATACACCTTTGAAGGGAATGTTAAAAAAATTTCCAATTGACTTAGAAGTCAATTCAATTTCTTTCCCTTTCACAAGTGTAGTTAATTTTTTAATTCCGCTAATAGTTCCTACACGAGTGATTGTGAAGAACAGTTGAACTAAAAAAAGATAAGTGGGTTTTTTATTTTCAGATAAAAATAACTCGAGCAATCCCACATTTTCAAAGTACGAACTAAAGTTCCAAGGGATGATATCATCAAATTTCACAAAACGTCCTGGAAAAACTTCAAATGTAGATATATTGTTAAATTCTTCAAGTAAATCAGGACTTTTTAAGTAAATAATGATTTCATCATTAACATTTGTATGAACGTGCTTAGCCTTCTTTGTTTTAGACATGATAATTCAAAAAATAAGAACTTGAAAAGATCAAGATGAAGAACTTACCAAACCGTTAAGAACCCTAGAGACACACGTAGTAGTCGACCAATAATGATTGTAGTCGACTACAAGAACTGAAATACTAAAGAAAACAAAGAACTT